AACACTTTCCGGTTTGGTTAATGAAAGGCGAACATAGAACTGCGAAGTCGTCTATTTGTGATCACCTGTTAGAGTCTGGTCATTCAGCCCCACGTGATTCATCCTTCAAGGTTATCCACATGGCAAAGTCGAATCGCTCGAAAAGTTTACGTTTTCTTCACTTATGCATAGCCGAAGCTTTAGCTATACATGAACAGAAACCTAAATTATGTGTTCAAAAACGTTTTGTCAAACCCCTTTCTTTACCTTGGTCATAGTAATGTTCTTTTTAGTTTTTATTTTATTTTACCACTTGAACTCTTTCTACTTCACTTCACATCTTCATTCTTATCGTAATCGTAATCCTAATTTTTTTTAAATTTTTAGACAACACTTGACATTTTTAAAACATTTTTGATTTCAGTTCACTTATAAAACAATCTTTAATAATTTTGTAATTTATCCACTTCAACTCTACCCGTTATAACATTTTAATTATCGTTATTCTTATCACATATATGTATATTGACTGAGCAGTGATTTAGTGCCACTTAATAACTTTTTCTGTAATATAAATACGACTGTACAGCTTGAAAATGAAGTCGTTGAAAAGAGGCGGCCATACGGGGGAGCTTATCTTTTACAGAGATGGAGAACAACTTGTGGCTGGTGAACATCATTTGTAATTTTGGCTGCAAAGAACCTTTTACTGACTGCTTTAGAGAGAAGGTTTTTGAGCATATCTGAAGCTTTATCATACATACATACATAAGTTTTCTTCGGAACTGAGTCGATGACCAGTTTAGACTGCTTATCTTTCGTGTTACTGTCAATAAATCGGTTCGGGTAACCGTTTTCTGAGAGCGTGGCTTTTAAGAAGTCAAGTCCTGAGTCAACGCAATCAATTAGGTTCCTATTCCTGGAGATAGGCACCCAACTGTAGAAATTAGTTAGTTGTCCGTTCCATGTGCGTTTCCAGTGGATAGATCTTTTGAGAGATTCATCATTACGTCTTCTAAGGTACACATCAAGAAACGGAATACTTAGTTCAGATTTCTTTTCTATAGTGAATTGTAAAGAAGGATGGCAGTTGTTGAAAGCAAACAAGACATCATCAAGAATTAAGTCATTATTGCAGATAACGAAACTGTCGTCTACGTATGGTTTACAAATGTCGAAACGATCGATGGTTTGACAGTATATATATATATATATATATATATACATATATATATATATATAATTCATTCGCTCTGTTTTAGGATAAGAACCATTTGTAGTTCTGATTGCGTTGTCTCAGAACTTGCCTTCATAAAAGCCACACCCACAGAAAACGGTTACCCCAACCGATTTATTGACAGTAACAGGGAAGATAAGCAGTCTAAACTGGTCACCGACTCAGTCCCAAAGAAAACCTTATTCATGAAATTGAAATTCAAAGGTGGTCAAGCTTCAGATATGCTCAAGAATGGTCTCTCTAGATTAGTCGGTAAGCTGTTCTTTGCAGCAAAGTTACAAATGACGTTCACCAGGCGTAAGTTGTTCTACATTTCTGTAAAAGATAAGCTCCCTCTTCTGGCCACCTCCATGTGCATCTATCAGTTCACCTGCTCCTCTTGTGGAGCAAGATACATTGGCCTTAGCCGGAGGACGCCAGTTTCCACACGGATACGAGAACATATTCCAGCAGCATGGTTTTACAAGGGAGAAAGGAAGTGTGTGCAAAGCTCTATTCTAGAACACTTGATCGACTCCTAGGTCACTCTACCAACCCTGACCATGATTTTAAGAACGTCCATCTAATTCATGCTGACTTGACGTGTTTTCTTCGTTATGGACTTCTAAAGACAGCAGAGGCCTTGACTATTCATGACTTTAAGCGAGATCTTTGTGTACAAAAGAAGTATGTACAATCCCTACTTGTGCCTTGGCCGTAGAGGGATAGACATTTATTTATTTTTAAGTTGTAGTTATTCTATGTACTTTTCCCTTAATACGACGATTATTATTATTACTATTCTCACTCTGAATTGTTCCCGCTTGTCCCACTTGTCATTCTAAATCCAAAATTATTATTTTTTGTATTTACAATATTGAATTCTATCTTATCAAATTTCACACCATGTTATGTAACATTATATATTCGCTTACTAATCCTATAATTGTACACCCCTTTCCAACATCTATACACCTTATGCTCCCGCAGATATACATAAATTTATATACACAATTCGAGTTAACATGAGGAAGGTATCTATCAGCCTTTGATTGCACCAAACGAGTTTGTCGCTTGATGAATGGGAACCAATTTGGTTGAAGGATAGGTTCTGGGTGGAGAAACTTTCAATGTTCTGTTGATTATTCCTACAATACAATCGCCTTTAAAATCGACTTGGATGAAGACACGTTTCTGATTTACTGTGGCTTGTTTCACATTTAGATTTTCAGATCTTCCATACTTTCTGATGAATTTCGGAGGGTAGCCATTATTTTTCAAAACATTCTCAATGTTTACGAGTTCTTCTTCCAGTATTTCAGTGGAGCATATTCTTCTGGCTGCGTAAAACAGAGTTTTGACCAATGCTTGTTCATAGCTAATTCGACAAAAACTATTGAAATTTATGTATAGTCCATTCCAAGTGGATTTTCGGTGAATGGATCTTTGTAGACTTCCATCTTCCAAGCAGCGTTGTATGGCAATATCAAGGAAATGGAACTTTCCATCAGTCTCATGTGCCACTGTAAAGTCAATATTCTTATGTGCTTCATTGGACAGTTGAAGTAGATGAGATGCATGATTTGTTCGTCAGGGGCACAGTGGTGAGGACGCTCGCTAATCATCCACATGGTCCGGGGTTCGATCCCCGGCTGATGCACACCTGATATCACTGATAGGCCTGCTAAATTTGGGCTATCGATATCACATGCTGAAAATTCCATACTTGTACCAAAAATACGGTGTGGAATCAAGCTATAATCAAAAAATAATAAATAATATGAAAGTGTCGTCGACATATCGACAATAGGAAGTTGTTTCATAGATCGCACTTTCCAGCTTTGTTGTCTCAAGATTAGACATGAAGATGTCTGTTAGTACGGGGCCTAGTACGTGGACTACCCATAACTACACCACCTATTTGATGATACAGCGTATTACCAAGTTGAAACTGTACATCCACGATGCTCATCCGTAGTAGTCGTGTAAATTCCTCCACTGAAAAAGAGAGCAAATCGGAATGCTGGCATATTCTTGTGAATACATCAAAAGATACCATGAACTTGTCGGAATCGTTCATGTCTTTCAGACTTTCAACAAAATCGAATGATAGCCGAGGAACTTTGTGCTGATATGAGTTGACCATGGAAAGTATAAGTCTCATGGAAACATCTTATTTGTGTATTCTCGGAAGACTGTACATGTAAGGCATGCGAGACCCTGAAGGCTTTAAGTCATCGTAGGTGCTGTTGCCAATCAATTTCCTTTCCTTTCTCAATCTCACCTCAGCGGGTTGTTGAGAATGAATTTCATCTTCGTTATGTAGTCTACCTTGTCCATCAATACGACACCTGAGCCTTTATCAGACCTCAGTATCACAATTTTATCATTATTCTTGAGATCTTTAAGTGCTTTCTGGTGTTCTTCAGAGAGGATTTCCGAACGTCAAAAAATTAGCTCACAATCAAGTAGTATCCCACATCTGTGAAATCCTTTTAAAGTATTGGTTTTGTAGGGATTTTTGTTTGATTGCATGGAGGATTTCATCATGAGCTGACATCAGTTAGAGAACCACTGGAAAACCAACTGGGAGTACTGGACGGCTGTTTCGTCCTAGTTTGGGACTCTTCAGCAGTACGCACTCACCCCACCATCAACAGGGTTCGAACCCAGGACCCTCTGGTTACAAGGCGAGCTCGTAGACCATTCAGCCAGCCACTGGGACCCGATCCAATGGCCAGTCAGCCCATGAATTCTAACTTCTGCCAATTCACGCACAATATAGCGCGACCATTTCGCAATGTCTTCTTCGATGATGAGTTACTGCCTCATCTTCAACCTGCTGTACCCTACTGGTCACGGCTTCCCACTAGAACCGTCGGGTAACTAACTGCCTGAATAGGGCCAGTCAGCGCTAGTGAGCATCAGATTAATTTTCAAGTATAGAATTCAAGGACCATTGGATCGGGTCCGAGTGGCTCAATGGTCTACGAGCTCGCCTTGTAACCAGAAGGTCCTGGTGCGTACTGCTGAAGAGTCCCAAACTAGGACGAAACAGCTGTGCAGTACTCCCTGCAGGTTTTCCAGTAGTTCTCTAACTGATGTCAGCTCATGATGAAATCCTCCATGCAATCAAATCCTTTTAACTCTGTGTCTAAAATCCATCTCATAACATCTATTTCTTGTCATACGTTGAAAGCTGTTGTTGATTTGTACACCATTGACTTAAACAATAACGAAAAGTTTACTCGTAAATGTTTTCCGCCTATTTTATTATGAGTAGTAGTAAAAAAGTAGTAGAAAGAAGCTGAAGAACAATAGAATTACATATATTACCCACTACTGCTCAAACAAATCGAATCCAGAAAAACACCGTTGATTATTATTATTATTTCCTATCTTGACAAAAGTACACTACTATACTCTACTGGCGAACAGTAGAATTATATCACTTTGTAATACATATTACAATTTTCAATAACACACACGCACATCACGTGGGTATTATGCTTTAGCATAATAATAATAATAAGCAGCCTCTGTCTAATAATGTGCGTGTCTGTCTATCTATCCATCTCTATTTGTCTATCCTCAACCTATACTTTTCCTATTGTATACAAGCGGACAGACGTCAATATACTTATTCTTATACTGATATAATTAATCATGTGATTTACTTAAGCTGAAATTCTATTGGTTAATATTCTATTGGCTTCAGGTCAATATTATTACAATTTCAACCAATCAGATGACAAACAGCCAATTGAATTGCCTTAACAGACGTGACTGTAATGGTAGTAATATAGAAGAGATTGAGGAGATCAGTAATTATTAATTATTACCTGATCTTGATCGAACGGACAACTGGTAGTCAGTAATTTACCCTATCATTATTATATAATATACTTGCCTAATTGGTTAATTACGTGAGTTCAAATTTCATTGTTTAACATGTTTATTAGCAAATATTATGCTTAGGAATGTTAACCATTAAGAATTAATTTAAATGACAGTTACCAATTTTGTATGCCGATATATTTTTTTTCATAAATGACTCTTTAAGATATTGTGTAGATTAATGGGTCAAGTTAAAGTTTAAGCACCAGTAAGTACCAGTGGAGTGTGACCGCATTGAGCAAGTTAGTGAAACCTGGCAAATAATATTGTAGTCATGAATAAAATATGCTTAATGAAGTGTTATGACATTAAACAAGATATCCTGTAAGTTAAAGTTTAGGCTAAGGACAGGTTATTGGTTAGGTTAACCTAATGAGGGTGACATTAGGGTTGATTCGAGTTAGATTAGGTTTAGTTTAGGGATATTTTCACGTAAGGGTTAGGTTAAGGAAAGATTAGGGTTACTGTCAGGGTTAGAAGACCTAGATAAATACATCTATAGAATGAAACTCCAATCCAAAACCCAGAGGTATTTCTATCACACGTCAGAGAAATGTATCCTGTGTAACACTTTCATGCCTTTTAACTCATTATTTCCATGAATATATGCATTTTATATGCAAAAATTGCCTCTATCTTGGGGTTGGTACGTTCAAGGTCATCTGTGCGTTGTCCTTACTGATACTTAAAGTTTAACTTTGCCGATTAATGAAATTTTCCTCCAACATTTTTCATTTTTTCATGTATTTTGTTGAAAAATAAAATTGCTCACCGTTAACAAACACTACAAGGAACTCTTGTTTCATATATATGTTGTCTCTAAGACTGACATCTCCTTACAATTTGTCGTACCCAACTAGATGGGAGTAGATCAGAGAGATATAAGATTTTAAGGAAAGAAATTTAAAAACAGGCACTGAATACTTACTGATACAGTTTTATATCCATTAGTCTCGTTGATTATGTAACAGAATTGAATCTTTTTTTTATTCCTTTGAGTTCCGAGTGGAACATTGGGCTTCAAGCTTAATCTTTGAAGCTTCAGTAGCAGTGGTGTTTTTTTAAGGGTTGAGGTTGCTAGCTTCACGCCCAACCTCCTCTCTTTATCGGGTTTACAACTGGCTAAGGGAGGTAAAGGTGTATGCCAGCAGGGAATAGAGCCCAGGACCACATGCATGATTGGAGAGCATTTTACCTCTGAACCACCCACTTTGATCTATTATGAATGTTTTTTTTTCAGAATCTGTGTTACTTAGTCCTGTGATTAGACTGGAACTGAGCTCTCTACTAAACATTTCTTTAAATCTTAATACTCATCTTGTTTCTTCTGCATCTTCGTTAAAGTGAGAATTTTCCTTTGAAATTTTTTTCCATCCCATCCCGAGTAGAACGTAGAGTTCCAAGCCTCATATTAATTGGTGTATGGTGACTAGCAGTGGAATCCAGGATTAGGCCCATTTCATCCTGTTTGTGACTCATCATCTGGATGTACCTGCATTCCCCAGTGAGTGATGATGTTCCCAGGTACATCCAGTGACGAGTCCCAAATAGGACGAAATGCGCATAATCCTGGATTCCACTGCTAGTCACCATCCACCAATTAAATTCGAATTATATGCTCAGACATCGTCGAAGCATCTGCACAAGAAGCCGACATGTCAACCTGAGACCGAGCACTTCGGTCCAATCAATCAATGGACGGGAAAATCTCAAATTCAATTAAATAATTCCAAGCCTCATGTCTAAACTCCCCTCTTCTCCTGGCTTATTGCTGGCTAGTAGAATAGGTGAGGTTCAAGAGTGCGTCCGTCGGTTGAGAATCGAACCTTAACCTCATCAGTGGTTGGCAAGCACTCAACCATTGAACTGACAGTTACTATGATCTTCATACATGATCTTAAAAGTACTTGTTCAGATAGTTTGTGTTATTCTAATTTGTATAGATACAGGTTGCATCGTGCACTCTGACAATATTAGAAACTCATGAATTTATTGAACGATTGTTTCTTCATGTGTAGAAGAAAATATGTGTAAATCGTAAAAGGTACTTGTCTCTCAGTGCACTTCTCTTTTAGTTAATCATTATATGTCTGGATTCAATGGTCTAGATATCAAAACTCCCCCCCCCCATCTTATGATATATCGTAACTGTCATTCAATATCTTCCTCTCTGATATGGTTGAATGTGCGTTTCGTACATAGTGGTTGTAGAACACTATGCATTGACTACAATTCGATAAGTGGTACTGTTCTTTCTCTCTATGTTAGCATTGATAATTCCATTCACTCTTCACTGAGAATTACCAACCTAGAATGGTGAAGTTAAACTGTAGACACCCCGAAAGGTGCGAAAGCTCTAATCATCTTGTAACGCTCAGTTTAAGCAGGATAGTGAAAACCAGGTAAGTAGCACTATATTCATCAGAAAACAAAGTGTTGTGTGAAGGCTATCTGGTTAGTCTTAGATTAGAGTTAGATTAAGGACAGATTAGGGTTGAGATTGAGTTAGGGGGCTTAATTCACCTTTTAGAGTAACTGTTCATTTCAAGATCATTTGTACATTCGTACTTCTTCGGTGTCTAAAGTTGAACATTGCCCCCTAGAATGAAACAAATGTCTAAACAAATCTCAGTCTAAAGCTGTTTATCAGTTCAAAGTTTCCAACGTATTAAAAAACACTTCTGATGTACTTTGCTTTTTGATATCATAACATAAATTAGTCATTACTGAGACTGCTAAACTTCGATAGTAGGAGAAAATCCTTCTGCTGCTGCTGTTTTTTTCTTATATATTTTTAATTGAATTTTTGATTTCCCCGCTGACTGATGATTAGACCGAAATGTTTGAGAAATAGGGAGCCTGATCTGTCAGTATCGTCTTTTTGGTACACCATGGTCTGCAATGATGTGTCGAACTACTGAGTCGGCCACGGTTTTCACTTGCTGACCAGGGATCGCGATGGCGTCTACCTATCGTGTAGCGTGTTTTGTCATCACCAAGAGGTAATGATTGCCATTGGATGTCTGCGGAAACGGACCCATGACATCTACGGACTACAAGTCACCTACTGTGGTAACTGGAGTTGACTGCAGAGGCGGTTGTATGCACTGATCTCCTTTCATCAAGTAGCACTGCGGACTAAACAGTATTAAGTAATAGTCGCAGAATAAAACAAAACGTAAATAAAGAGTGATTGATTGACTGAATTTGCAATGTAGGACTCTGCATAAAAGTTTACTAGCTGAAGTTGCCACAATTTCATAAAATCCTACATAAAAACATGCGAAGAAACTCTAATAAACCAAAATGTACGGGAAACAGGGGTAGAGAGAGAGAGAGTAATTATATGTAGAATAATGAGAATTTAATGAATCTTGCAGTTCATAAGCAGTAAATGAATTTGTACCACACTGTTAACGATTTTGATCAATATCACCCCAAAAGTCTTTCCATCATCCATTGGTTCTTAGTATCTTTGAATACCTCAGTATCCAACCCACCCACCCACCCCCCTAAGTAACTCAAAACGATTATCAATGACACCGTGGATTAATGACATGTTAAATAACTAACTGTCCTATAAAATTCATCAGGAAGATCAGAAAAGGTCAAAAGCAAAATAAAAATAATGGTGAAACTAATAATGATAACATAAATAAGAAAGAATATAAGGCATCTACAGTAGTTTTACCATATAAAGAAGAGATATCTCAGACCACACGTAGATTGCTTAAAAAAGCAGGAATTAGGGTGGTGGCATTTAAACCTACAAACTCACTCAGGTAGGACAAGTTCTGTAGGTTGACCCAATTAGACAAAATAATATAATTTACAAAATACTTCAGATGACTGTGAGTTAGGTGAACTACATAGGTGAAACCAGTAGTAGATCGGGGGTAGTCAGATTGTCAGAACATAAGAATTTAATGGCTAAGGTTAGAATGATTGACCCCACGAAGATAAGTAATTCAGAAAAAAACTCAGCATTAATTGCACTGCATTCATTAACACACAACCACACAATAGGGTGGGTGAGGTTTAAAATTCCAAAAGTAATATAGGTAGGTGGAGAGCGAGAGAGATTGATTACTGAATCCTGGTTCATCGAATAACTTACACCCAACACATACAATAGGAATGATTCATCACTCATACCCGAAATATGGAAAATATTACTACCAATCAAATCAAGTGAAAAACAATGGAACTATATAAATGAATTTAGGAAGTCGTGTGATTACCTTGATATGATTATGAGCTGCAGTAATAAATTGTGCTCGAAACGTCATCAGTAAACATTACTGTATAACACTGTGTGAGACTTTATCAAAACAAAATTTACCCATAATGGAAAATGGCTATCGTTTTTGTATTTTTTTGTTGTTGTATGGTTTTGATACCTTTGAAAAAAAGGCAAAAATTGTTGATGTCATGCAACTGGTGTACATAATTTTCTGTTGATATTGTTAATTGCTTATATTAACTGATTTATTAATTGTTTTATTTATTTATTTACTTATCTGTTTACAAATTATTAGAAATATAATAAAACAGTGGGTTTTAATAAGCTCGTTTTACAACCATAATGTCACATGTACTACACATATACAAATACGAATAAATGTATACATATATACTTTAGGCTTATTGTACTGCAAAGAGTACTTACTACTTTAGGGATTAAGGGTGTGTACTCTGTAATAGTTTATAGTGTCAATTTTCCTTGTACAGCGTGTGTATGCGTGTGTGTGTGCATGCTTGCCTTTTTGTCTGTTTGTTTGTTAGTATCGATCATCTGTTGGGCTATTGACCAAAGGACGTGTGTATACTGCTCAGCAGTCACTTCGCTCCGTCCTTCTTTTTGGCTATTAAGGGAGACATGACCATTAGAAGGCTAGCAATCTTTAATCATAGGTGTATGTTTGTGTTCTGTCTCCCGTGAGTGTTAAGTGGTAGAATAGGGAAAGTAATATCTGGGTTAGGCACTGAGTGCTAGGAGGTAAGGAGGGAAAATCAGTCAACGAGGTTG